ACTGGGGTCTGTTGGTTGGTCTTGGTTTGGTGTTTTACAACCCTAATTATATTTCTGAGCTTCTTGAGGCTGTGGTGGAGCTGGGTGGCTTTTGGAGAGAATGTGTAATGAAAGTTACAAACTGTGAACTTTTTATTGAGAATATGCTAGAGTGCTGCTATAATAAGGCTAGTCTAGATTTTGTGCTATGTAGTTTCTAGGGACTCTGATATTGTGGATGTGAGGGGTGTGATGCTACAGGTTTGTATTAACTTGGCTTGCGAAGTCGTCCCACTTTTCTAAGTTCATTGCTTTGTATTCAAAGACTCATCTTCGAGTACGGGTTTTGTGTCTTTGTTGTCCAGTAGTTGCGTAGAGGAAGAACCAGTATGAGATTAAGATCTTGTAGTTGCTTTGGGTGCTGGTGTTGGGATCATATATATCATATTCTGTGAGGTATTGCAGTATTGGTTGGTATGCCCAGATGAAATCAATTTCACTGCTTGAGTTGGCTCTGCGTCATGTATGTGTGAACTTGTGAGAGTGTGTAGCTAGGTCGTACATATTATTAAAGGCAAGAAATTGAAGAAGTTTGTATTTGATAGACTGAAAATGGATATTGTTAGTAGATGTATTAAAGTCTCCTAGAGTTATTGGATGGATGTTGAGTGCTTTGGCCTGTTGTAGTCACTAGATTATAGTGTTCTGTGTTTGTAGCCGGAGGTGTGCCTCATTGCTAGGGAGGTAGAGGGAGATGATTCGAAATTTAAAATTGTGTTTGAAGAAGAAGTCAATAGCTATAGCATATCCGGGTATTGTGCTGATATTGTGAATATGTGGGGTAAGTGTGTTATGGACTATAATTGCTATTCTAGCCTTTGAGCTATTTGTGCATGACCAGAAGTAGGTGAAGTGTTAGGTTTTTAGGTGCTTTTGGGCATTATTCTGCTAGACAGTTTGGTTTCTGAAATGCAGATTATGTCTAGAGCTTGTTGTCGTCAGTAGTGTTCCTATGTTTCTTTTTTGGTATTTGTATTGAGGTCTTGTATATTGTGCATACAGATTGAGAGAGTTAGTGGGTATAGGGTGGATGTAAGTTGGGGGATATTGGAATAGGAGGTGTTTAAGTTTTGTGTATCATGTGTAAGGAGGTTAGAGAGAAAGGAATTAGTGGTGTGTAGCATTAGGAATTTAAAGTGTGTCCATTTGGTCAGGACTGACCAATAGGGGGTGTTGATAACTGTAGTGGAGGTTATTGTAGCTGTAGTCTCTGTGGGTTCAATGGTGGGTAGTTCTGTCATGGTCATGGTTGTGTCCGTGTCTAGAATAGGTGTAAGTATTGGAAATGCCTCTTCTAAAGCCAGGGTATTACTTGCAAGTGAAATTACGATGCTGGAGGTATTGGGATGCTCTGTAAATGTGTTGTCAAATATGCTCCACTTGGGCAGAAGAAGAGGTAGGAGTTTTAATAGGAAGTCAGGGATTGATTTGATAGTGTAGTGCTGTCTGAGTACTTTCATTGTAGGTGTAATGTTGAGTTAGTTCTGGATTGGTAGAGAGACGATGACTTCATGTTTGGTGAGGTCCTTAATAATTTTCTCGATATTGCTAGAGATATTAGAAAGGTTTGGGTTAGTAGTTGATTTAGTAGTACTTTGTGGATTAGCATTTTTGATTTGGATCCAGCTAGTAGGGAGCTGGGTGAAGTAGTAGTGGCTACGTAGTAATTTGGCAGTGACTGAGAGCTGTTATGGGGTAGTAATTGGCAGAGAGATATTGAAGCTTTTGAGAACTTCCTCAGCTATAGGGAGGGGAGGCTTGTCGGTAGGATTTGCTTGCATGATTTTGAGTAGAAGAGAATACTGGATTCAGTAGTTTGTAGAAGCTTGCTTGATGAATTCTTTTGCTTCTGCATTGTTCGTAATAGGAAAAGTAAATTTTGTAGTGGTTTTGATTTTGCTAGTGTCTTTGGGCAATAGGGGTTTGATGACAAAGAAATCATTTGGTAGGAGTTTGAAGGTATAGTATTTTCTAAGCACAGTAATGACGTCTGTGAGAGGAATCATAGAGATAGCTGGGTTGAATGGGAAGTATTTTCGAACTACAAAGTTAAGTTCTTGGTAAGTCGAAGGAAGGGGGTGGAAGTTTGAAGTAGGTATCAAGGATTTTGATTACTGTGTAGTAGTCTGCTAGTTTTCTTTTGTATACTGCTAGGTGCTAAAGAGAGGATCGATGTGAGATCGGGAATAGCTGGCAAAGGCTGGTAGGGAGAGTACTATAGTGTAAAGGTAAGGAAGGGAGTTTGGTGAAGTAGGTTGCTGGTAACTCAGAAAATTTGAAGATTCTTCTCAGAGTGTTGACTATTGCTCTTGTGTATGATCGTTGTGTAATTGGGAGCTTAAACGGGAGAATGTTTTGGATTTCTGTGGAGATTTGGTCAGGCCTGTCCGGAAGTAGCATTAGTTTGCTTTCTAGTGCATTATTGATTTGGGTTTTAATTTCTTTGGGGAACTGTTCATCTGGGTTTTTGATTTGTAAAAAGCCTCTAGCATACTAAACTACTCTGTATATTTGCCTTGGTGGGATGCTTGTGAAGATGAGGTTAGAGATATATTGTGTGATAAGTAGAGATGCAGACATTTTCCAGGGTAGTAACTACATACATCATTACGGCTATGACGTAAAGGTCGTACTACCTTTGGGTCATGTTGCCGTTATGCCGAATGTGGTAATAAAGTAGCATGCCGTGAGTGCCGTTATTGTTGTTGTGTCCGCGATTTATGTCGCATGTCGTAATTTATGTTGTATTCGTGATTTATGTCGCATGTCGTAATTTATGTTGTGTCCGTGATTTATGTCGCATGTCGTAATTTATGTTGTGTGCCGTAACTTATTAGGGTGGTAAATGGGCGAAGTAATCAAAACTATATAAGGTAACTATAGAACTTAATACGTATATTGCAGATTTTTCACATTACAGCATTACACGAATGAAAAACAATCGTTATGAACGTATTGATATATATATAATTTATACGAATAACATTAATATTAATTAAAATTATCAGATTCAAAACGATTCAACTCATTAAAAAAGCAAGGAATTGCCTGTAAATTTTCATAACCTGCCTACAAAGTGTCAAAAAACAGTTACGCTCAAATATATTTCATCAATATTGAATATAATAAGCTTGCGTATAGTAAAAAATTAGTACTGGAGTTTTAGAAAGTTTCTAAATTCGAATGTAAAGATTGTGGATTAATTGCCACTTTTAAATGCCTTAAAGTTGATACGAATTTTACCAGGAAAGTATTATATTAAAAAATTTAAACAATTTTGATTAGTATTAGACGTATTTTTCATTTTCAGCTGCCAATACTTTTATTATTGCTTGTTTATTTTTGTGTAATTCTTTGAGGATTAACGACTGATACTATTTGTAGTTTATTCAATATGAATTTATATCATATCTCAAATACTTGCAAATTATTAAAATCTATCTTGCTTATACATATGTATTAGAGATAAAAATAAGTAGCCTAATTATACGATTCATAAATTAGTAAGTGTGAATGAAATAAATAATATTATAAATTACTACATATTCTAAGAATCGACCATTTTTAATACCTTAAGAAATTTGCTTTACCAGTGTCCTTGGCAGAATTTGTTGTAAACTATTAACCTTTTGAAATCGAGAACGCTAGATATTAATTGCATAATATTAAATCTTAAGCATTTATTTCATATAAAATTGAACATACAATTTATTCTACTTATTCTGCTCTTCACGTTCTAAAAATCTATTTAATACATCACAAGGATCATAATCAAAATCCTCGGGTAAAACAGCTCGGGACGTTTCTGCTGTAGAAGATTCTGAATTTTCTTCAATTTCCAAGTCAATGATCTCATTAATTAATAAGGTTGTAGGACAATTAGGTATATCTAACAAAATCTCATCGCTAATTTGATCCTCTTCATAACTCATGATGTTACCAACTGAAGATAGATTACATGCATCTCGAAGATCGGCCTCTGTTAATTCTTTACCAAAAAAGTTTAGCTCACGCCGAATATTTGTTATATAATATGATCTAATTTTGGATATTCCCTCTAGCCTATTTATACTCAAATTAGTTCGACGATCCCCTAAAATCCACTTTAATAATGAGAAATTCCTTTCGCAACTTGCTTGCGTAGGATTAATAGAAAAAATTCTACAAGCTAGCTCAGCTAAATGTCGTGGTTGACTTTTAAAAGACCCCCACCAAATTTTTGGGGTATCTATACCCGAAACATAAGGAAGATTAAATGGTGACAATCGTGCCTCAAATCGTCGCATTTGTGCAACTAATTCATCACTTTCTAACTTGGTATGACCAAGATTTTGCCAGATCTTAATAGATGTAAGGGCTGCTTGGTGAAACCCATCGTCTTTTAAACCCTTTCCTAAAAATTTATATATTTTTTAAATTATATATATGTATAAATAAAATTAAAGTATTAACTAAAATAGAAAAATTAACTTGCCTTTTTTATTGTACATATATATTATGTAATACGTAGTAACGATAAATGTATAAGTACGTACTGTATATATATAAATATAGTGATCTACATACCTCTGTACTGTGGATGAATGTAATACGCCAAAATATATAGTGGATGCAAAAATTCTTCGTATCGTCGATTAAAAACATGAATTGCAGAGACTTTAAAGATATTTGTTTCAGGCAAGCGTTTAATAGCTACAGCTAACTTGATTAAATATGCAAAACAGTCAGCTAATGTTGCTTGATTAGTTTCTAACGCACAGATTGCTTCTTTAATAGGTTGCCAAATGGAGCGCACTAATCGACACGTAATAAAAAAGTCTTCATTAGCTATTAAATTAGCTATTTCTTGATTTGTAATTGCCTCATGATGTTCGGAAAGTAACTAAAAATAAATTTATTTTATTAATAATAATAATTATAATAAAATATATATACCAATAATTTATATTTACCCAATCAAATACAGGCTGTGCACGAATCATTGAATCTGTAGTAAAATATAAAGATCCCCAACGAGTTTTTATCCATGTTTTTAGCCCACCACCTTTAATTTTCATATTAGTAAATCCTTTAATAAGTAATGAATGGCTCGAATGAGAAGAGTTAAAAAAATTATTAATTTTTCCACAACTAGCAATTAGTTTTTTTAATTCATCTAATTTAACTAAGTCAGCAGCAATAAGATTGATCGCATGAGCTGCACACCGGACATTCCAAATATGTGGATACATCTCTTGTGTTTTTTGACGTGCTAGGTTACAGTTTGAGGCCGCATCCGTGACAACAGCTGCAAATTTATCTGAGCCAAGTCTTTCGATAATAGTTGATATTTCATTCGCTAGAAATTCACCCGTTTGAGAATATGAAGAATAATTTTTTAAGCCAACTAAATACTCTTTTCGTGTGTCCGTTGTGATAATATAATTATAAATTGATTCCATTGTTGGTGATGTCCAACCGTCTAAAGCTTTATTAAATATATAATATATAATAAATTAATATATAAATAAATTAAATATAATTTAATACGTAATATCGATAAGCATTTGCATATTTGATCATCTGCACTATTTTATTTTAATATGTTAAAGATATACACTTCGTACAGAAATCATTTGATTTACAAAATATATACTAATTTTACCGTGCATGCATAAGAAACATCTAATTTTAGAGATTAATTTTGAAATACGTAATTGGGGGTTTCAAAATTAACAAATTAGTAACGCTCGAAAGTATGTAGAATTTTTTAATAGCTTTACTATGTTGAATTATAAATTAAAAATATGAAATAAGATTTTCTAATTTTAATTTTGAAACCCCCAAATATTTATACCTGTTATTTTTATATAAACTAACCTAAGGTTAAATGATCAGCTTTATCTATATCATTATCAATTGCACAATTTATCCGTGCTATTTCCTCATCCAGTAATCAGCCTGATAAAGTTGTTCTTGATGGTGGATTGTATGACGGTAAAAACTCTTTAAACATATCTTTAATAAACGGATTTTCAATAATTTCAAAAGGAATTCCTGCCATTACCCAAGCTTTAGTTATTTTTTGATCAAGTCGATTAATTGTAGCTTTTGGTAATGGATGATTAGGTAAAAAATGAGATGTTATTGCTGGTTGATTTGGTAAGGATGTCTTTTTTCGCGTATAGTTAGAATTTCTTGTTGCTACTTTTTCTTGCCAATATCGTGATATATTTTCAGGGCAATTAGAACATCCATTTGCTAAATGCGCTTCTAATGTTGCCGGTTTTCCTCTTGCCCAAGATTTTTTAGGAATACAATAATAACAAATAGCTTCATAATGGCCGTTACTTTTTTCTACTCCCTTAAGATAATAATCCCATATCTCAGCAAACGGTCTAGATTTTTTCTTAGTTGAAGAATGTTGATTAGAACTATTTGTTGCATATTCTTCTTCTGATTCTGAACTATTTTCTGTTTCTACTAAATCTGCATTTCTTTTTCGTGAATTTTTTTCATTTGTCTCCATAGCTAAAAATTTGATATAGCTATTAAAAAAAGACAAATATACATATAGACAAAATTATATATATAGATCTTTTAAACTGTTGGTTTTCACATGCAAAGCGTTTAAGGAATACTATTTTACGTAGTACGTACGATATACTTCAGTACTTATAAGAATTCCCACTGTAAATAATAATTTAAGTTTCATTATGCGCGAACTTGATTCTAAAAGAATTATGGTAATGTATATTTAAGTATATATGCAATTAATATAAATTACTTTAATAATCGCATGTGTTACTTGGATAATATTTATAGTACGTATATTCATGTTACTTTTCTAAAATCTGTTCAGGAATTGATCCAATACTGATATACGTATTGAAAATTAGATTTTAATTTGACAACAGTTCGATATTGTATTCATAAATGCTTATTTTCTTTCAAGTTTTAATTCAGGCTAATCAGGACAAAATAGGTATAATATCGCTTGTTTTTTCTTTAAAAAGTCTCATTAATTTCAAAATTTTGTCTAAGAACCACCTTCTGCGTTCTAAAAAAAAATTTTCTTCGAAGTTTTGGTGTTACAACCTTATCACTAACTTAAATTGGAGGGAAATTAGTAATTTTCCACTCATTAATACTTTTATGCAGGGATCGGACCAGGCTTTTTAAAGCTAGTTCAGAGCCGGTCCAAACCAGTCCATTAATCATAACAAAAGTCTAATGTTGATTTTGCTTTAATTAGGCATTTGATTTTTAACACCATGGGCTTGGGTTACTTAATTCAGTATGAAAATTTTAAAGAACCGGTCCAGAGCCAGGGTATCTAAATTGCGTGATAGTGAAAATTAGGAAATAAATTTATGATTGGTTAAATTTTATTTTCTGGTTTTCACTCCACGCACTCATTTATATAACATGTGACATTTATACTACACAACATATAAAACGTACTGTACATACTTATCTAATGGCGCTTATCGATATATGACATACGGCATTTTACTCTACATACGGAACTTACATGACATACGGCACTTATACGACATACGGCATTTATACTACAAATGGAACTTACACGACATACGACACTTATACGACTTACGGCACTTATACGACTTACGGCACATTTGTTTATACGGCAAATGTGTCGTATTGCCGTTATATTTTTAGTAAGGTAGTTACCTTTTATATTTTTAAATGTCTGCACCCTTACTTGTAATACAGGAGTTATATATTTACAGGTCAAAATTTGATATATTCTATGTTTAAGCTATATATATCGAGTAGCAAATATGTGAGGATAATACTAGATATACTATATATAATCTACACTTTGTAGAATATGTGTAGGATATGTGTAGTTAGTATGCAAACATGTATAAAATAATCTACATCCTCTCAAATACTTTGTACCTAATAAGTGTAGAATAGATGTAGGATATATTGATTTTGACTTGTGATTCATTCAAGTGTTACTATAAAAGCCTTTTTATTCAAAACTATATTAAGGCATATGACAATATACAAGATAGAATAAAAAAGAAATTGATACTATATAGTATTTATAATGCTATAATAAATTTAGCTAAAGCATAGTCTAACTATCAAAAATTGTTGGCAAAAAACTAGAATTCTTCTACAAGAAAATTCTGAAGAACCTATCAAATTAACCAAGACAAATATTATTAGTATCAATATTTAAAAACTTATTTAATTTGAATTTGTAAACTTAACTTAGAAATATAAAAAAAAATAAAAAAAAATTAAAATTTTAGTAACATAGATGATGAATCAAACCTTTAAAATTAATTACCCAATCACCAACAATTAACTTCTTTACTATATACAAATATATTCATACTAAAGATAACAAAATTAAAAGTAGGCTTATCGAAGAAGAAATTTTAGAAATTATTAAAGGTGAAGATGATAAAAATAAGAAAAAAGAAGCAAAAAAATTATCTATTAAACAAAAAAAAATTACTTATACAGATACTAAATATTATATAAACCAAACACTAAAGTTCTTATATAAACAAAGACCAGAGTTTGGTAAGGTTAAAAAAGAAGTTAAAATATTAAGAAAACTTTACAAGTGGGTTCGACTAAATATTATAAATAATTTCAAACAAGCTAATCTATATTCTTATTTTTAGTAAAAAAAAAAATTTTTTTTAAAAATAACTTTTGGTTTTTTTTTTATTTTATATATACTGTATATATCTTATATATATAGTATATATTTTGTCTTGATTTAGTAATTTGTATTTGTATAGTTAAATTTAAATTGTATAATTTTATTTAATAAATTTTTTACATGTTTGGTTATATGAATATATCTCTATTAGTTAGCTATATATACTAAATATTTGGTATAAAAAGTATAATTTTATATAACAAACTTACTCTATACTGAACTAAAAGGTCCAGAATATACAGTTCAATATATCCAAAGTTGACTATATATTGATAATTATCTATTTATAATATTTATTAGTTATTAGATATATGGAGTAAAGTCAATAGAAAAGGGACAAATTTTTTCTAAGTAAAAGTTTTCTTGACTTTAAGCTTAAATATCTTAGCAATTATC